ACAGAAATAATTAAAAATAATAGTGTGCCATTGTGATAAGTATGGATTATTATTACCCAATAATATTTAATTATAATTAAAATAAATTTTGCATTTTAACGAAAAATAAGACAAATTTATTTTCAATATCATATCCACTTGCAATATCTTGAAAACTTATAACTTAATATCTTTGTCAAAATTATCCTTTTGTCACATTTCATAACAGCACTAGTTTTAATAGCCTAACTATTCAGATTCTAGGATGCAGTTTATAAAAGTACAAACTTCCAAAAGATTTACTATTTGTTGAATATTTTATGTTTAAAACTGTAAATACTTTTCATTACAAGAGCTTGAAACGCTAAATTAAATATTTAATAATTTCGGTCTCTTAATAATTTCGAACGCATGGATCAGGACGCCTGTAAGCAATTATGTTCGAACGGCTGATATTTGTAAAAGGATTGTACCTAAGACTACAATTACCACCGCGCTTTTTTTTACAATAGTTTCAAGTTGTTATGTCGAAAGTATGTAAAACTATCCTAATTTCAAAAAGGAGAAGGTAATCAATTCGACTGTATTTTTTTAACGTGTTTTTATCTGAAAGTAGTCCCATATAAATTGTATTAAGATTTGACCAGTATTTTTGAGTTATATTTAATAATGCGTATTTAATTGATTTCGAAGTCGGTTGTACAAATTTTTTATTTTACTACTTGTTTTTTAACATAATATACATAGATGATATCGAAACCAAATTTGATTTAAAAACATTATTATTTTACCTACAACGTTAGTCTGGACTGGACGAAATCAATGAAAATTACGATGGCACAAAGTTCTAAAGCGTAGCTTACAAGTGAAATATTTTTATAACTTTTCCTAACTTGCCAATCATGTGTTACAGGATTAAATTATTATTTAAAATGTGTAAAAGAGTGATAATTGCATTTAATACAATATTGCTTACCAGTTTACCAGTCAGACTGACCAGACAGAATGAAGAGTCAATACTAGAGATGGGCCGAATATTCGTTTCATATTCGGTATTCGACATATTCAGCATCTTCACCGAATATTCGTGTTCGGCCGAATATTTGGCTAAATCACCGAACATTTGTTAAAGTAGTACTCAACGTGTCCACTGTTTTGAAATATACGAATCGAGTAATGCCATGTCTTTCATAATTTTACTGTTGAAAGTATATTTTATTTATGGGTTAAATCTACTTGTATAGTATTGTTTTGAGGCATTGTAGATTCATTTCCAATTATAGCAAATAGAAAGCTTGAGAAAATATTTTTGGATTCAAACAAAGAAACATTACATAACGTTAGTACATTTCACTTTACTTTGGTCGTCAGTTTCTCTAAAATCAGTACAAATAGTAGATCTCCTGCCACTCAATTTATCATATAATTATCAATTTTCACTCAGAATAACACAACGAAATAATATTTTTTTCTAACAAAAATAGTCAAAACATAAGCATGTGCCGGCAATTTGCTCAGTACTAGATGATGAGCGAGGGGTAGGGCCCGGCGCTAGTCCCGCGCGCTTTACGGTAACAAGTTTCGACATTAATTGGTTAGGTGTCGAGGTGATCCTGCCGAATAATATTCGCTTCGGTAAAAGTTTTACCGAACTTTCGGCCGAATATTCGTATTCGGTGAAATCCATATTCAGTCCATCTCTAGTCAATATATGTATTTATAATTACATACACACATAACATGCAATTATAATTCCCACAAGAAATACAAGGCGAAGAACGGGGCGAGAGTAGGATCGACGTATATATCGATCGAAAAAGGCATTCAAGAGACTAAAATGAACTTCAGTTTACTTTGAGACTTGTATCGAACATTTTATGTTAGCTGTAATAAAACATCATACTAAAGTAAATAATTGCTTTCTTAATTTACGAGGATAATATCAAGAAAATCTGGAGGCGACGTAAATTTATCCTTACATAACAACTTTTGACTAACAGGAAAAAATGTTCCTGTTTGATAAACCCTAAACCAAAAACAGATAGGTACCAGTTGCGGGAAGAATATCTTTTTAAAAATTATAACTTAAAAATAAAAAATAAAAAATTATATATTTATTAATAGAAAAAGTAAACTCAGATTTTAGTTTTAGATGTAAGAGAAATTTCTCACATTATACGGACATTTAAATAATAATGTGTACAATGACTTAGAAGTAATAAATAGTATTAAGGCTAACAAATCTACATCATAGCGTATTAAGATATTAATATCGAATTTACGGTTATTTATTACAAAGCGCGTATTGCTGTATTCTGGAACCATAGAATGTTTCATCCTTAGTCTGATATCAGAGATGAGGAAAAAATTAAAAATGGCTTCTTATTTACCCCTAGAGGAAGGCTGAAAGGTAAATAAAGTACGTAATAAATTAAATTAATATTTCAATACATAGCAATATCAATAATTCTTTGAAGTTCAACACTTTTGCTATCAATATATAGACCATAGAACACTATACACAATAGAACATACATACATAATAGAACGGGGGTGTGGGCGGTGCCCGTGTAGCCACTAAAATGCCACAAGACGTCAATTCACACGTACAAATGTCAACACGAGATGTGTTTTGACGTTACAATCGTTTCCAAATTTCACATGCAAATTATTTAGAAAATTCCAAATTGCATGCTAATTACAAATAAATATGTATTAAAATCCGGCTGTCAACACAGTGAATTGGGTTTGTATAGCCCGTTCTCGTTAAGAAAATAGTGAGTCATCGTTGTCCGCCGGCCTGACCACGCCCCCCCAGCCAATAAAAATGCAAGAAATTAGAAAGTCGAGTTCACAGTGACCAGTTGAAGTCAGGCCTTCGAACAAAACGGTTATGTATTTTGCGTGTTACACGTTCAACATTAAAATTTGAAAATGAATACCTCACCTATTCGAAAGAATAAAAGTGGATCAATAATCCATAGCGGAGAGAGACGCGTAATTTACAATGTTTATAAGTACTTTAAACTGTGTGATTTAAATGCGACTGTGGAGAGCACAGTAATAAAAACAGCAAATGCATGTGGTGTGTCCGAAAATACTGTTTATAAAATTATTAAAGAACAAAAGGATGCTGACACATTAATATCACCCGTAAAAAAAAGAGCTCGACTATCGACGGTCGATAAATTAGATGAACTAGACAAATGTGCAATAAGGAGAAAAGTTCACTCAATATATTTAAATAACGACTACCCGACATTGGACAAAATTATGATACTTTGCGAAGCTGACGAAGATATTCCTGTTTTCAAATGTACCACACGTGACATAAAATAATGCAAGAACTTGGTTTCGATTTCAATAAACAGGATAGCAGAACATTGTTAGTCGAAAGAGAAGATATTGTTTTATGGAGGCGTAAATATCGGAGGCAAATAAAAGAATACAGAGGCGCTAATAAAACCATTTACTATCTTGACGAAACGTGGGTAAACGCCGGACACGTAAAGACAAAAGCATGGTTGGATACAACGGTAAAAAATAAAAGATAAGCCTTTCTAGATGGCTTATCAGCCGGTCCAAAAGCTCCGATAGGAAAAGGTAAAAGATTACTTGTATTGTACATTGGCAGCGACAAAGGATTCGTGGAAGATGGTCTACTAGTATTTGAATCTAAGTCTACAAAAGACTATCATGAAGAGATGGATGGTGAAAGATTCCTTAATTAGTTCATTAATATAATGCCTAAGCTAGAACCAGGAAGTGTGGTTGTCATGGATAACGCTCCCTATCATTCGGTAAGAGTCGAAAAAATACCAACAACCAGCTGGAACAAGCAGCAAATAATAGATTGGCTGCAAAGCAAAGGCAAATCCATGGACATGACTTATTTAAAAAAAGAATTATTAATGAAAGTTGCCGAAATCGCCCCACAATATAAGAAATATTTAATAGATGAGACTGCCAAAAGTAATGGCATTACAATTCTTCGCCTACCGCCTTACCATTGCAAACTTAATCCAATTGAATTGGTTTGGGCCCAAATAAAAAATTATGTTGGTGCCAATAACTCCACGTTCAAAATGAGTGACATAAAAATTATTAGATGACGCAATAGCATTAATAGACGCTAATCGTTGGAAGAAGTGCTGCGACCACGTGATACGCGAAGGAAATAGCATGTGGAATTTGGATGACATCATGGAACTTGCAGAACAAAATTCTTTCATAATTAATGTAACTGGAAAATCTAGCGATACTGATTAGTGATTTAAGTAATTTTAAGAAAATTTGTTTCCATTAAACTTAATTAAATGTTTGAAAAAAAAAAAGAATTTTTACTCCACTGTGAATACACCTTTAACCTGTAGTTGCACTGATGACTCACTATTTTCTTAACGCGAACGGACTATAGTAGTGATTACTTGATAATACTACGTAATTGCTTGTATGTGTACTCCCGGCGACGCCGAACCTCGGTACAAAATAAGGTTGACAGCCATTCTATTGTGTATTATAGTATTCTATGACATAAACCAATAATTTCCTTTACGATACAGTAACGTGGCCTTTACTCTGTATCTTAATTCATCATTCATGTCCGGTGAATGTATCAAACTATTTAATGCACCATTTAAAAAAATCTTGTTAATAGAGCAAGTCATACAATTGCGTCTATTGAATTCTATAACAATATATGCCATATTATAACCAGTACAATAATATCAATTAGAATTATCCAATGTGTAGACAATATTCAATGAAAAATCTACACCAGCTTAATATAAAAGTAAACGAGCTTCACGGTAGGCACATCCTCTACGAATGTGTTATTTCGTTATAATCAAGAATTTCCCAAATAAGCCTTAGTGTAGATTCAGCGTAATATACGAATGCGTACTTAAGTAGAAAACACTTATTACTATTAAAATGCTTTAGGCATATATGTGATAGATATCTTATTTACATGTCTAAATGTATATTAATATAATTCACCATTAAGATCACTAAGCATATTCTCAACGATGAAAAATGACTATCAACAAAATGGATATGATAATAATAAGAATAATAGCTATATACACTTTCTTCTTCCTCAGCTTGTTCTGAAATTTAAAAAGAAAGTGTAAATTAGTATAAATAATCGTAAATTCTAACTAAATTACCTCCATTAACGTATAAAACAAATTATCGGTTCATTATATAAAACTGCTAGCTAGTCTGGCAGACGTTGTTCGGCCCGGTAAGTGGCGCGATGAGTTTTAGAGAAACATTGTGAAAAATAAGTGTTACAGAAAATTGTTATTACTATTAGTAAACCATAATTAAGAATACCCCTGTCCGGTAGTGAACTTCTGAAAATTTCAAAATCTTATCGAAAGGTGTCAACTTAACTGTACAGTACATAATGTAACCTACCCACATCCTATAGAACGCTTGTACAATAATCCCAAGGTAGGGTCGCATACAGTATCAAAGTTGGCGCGAAACTAATACTATCTGTTTGTACACAAATATTAGTTGCTGCTATTTTTTATGGGATAAGGTTGACAGACGAGCGAGCACACAGTCCACCTGATGTGGTAAGTAGATACTGTGGTTGCTGTGGCCCATAAACATCTACATCTATCTTCGATTACGGATCAAAATGCAGATGCGTTGTCGCCCCTGAGGATTAAGATGCAATGCCTCATTTCCAGTAAAATGGGTCTTCGGTTTACTACCTATAACCATACGAAACACAGCAGCTATAAGCTGCTAAATTACGCTGGTTTTCTGTGAGAGCGTGGTTCTTCCCCAATCGAACAGACCCATTCGTAATATAGTTGTATTACGTACACTAATATACCTAATATACCTGCAGCATGGCTTTACCACGAAAAATGCTGTCATTCGGGCCTAGGACATAATAACAAGGTACTCTCGGTCACATGACAAACTGTAATGACAATAAAGAAAACGCCTAGGAAACTTGGTCGCAATAAAACAATTACCTTGTAGTTCACCGCCTGCCTTAGTTCTTGAGTGCCACTCTCGACGTTCTGCACTGCGTACTCCACGTTGGACTCGATGGAATCAACGACGGCGCCTTGGTCGTGGATCATAGTGCCCAGGTCCTTGAATATCTGATTCACGTCCAAAATATCGCTCTGAAATGTCACAAAATTTAGATTATTTAATAAACTGCTGTTGTCATTGTTCTTTATATATGTAGAGTTATATTCCTTTTATTATTATTATTTATTATAAATAACTATTAAAAAAAACAATTAACCATCACTGTATGACATCTCGGAAGCATTTGCAAGAACATAAAATAGTATAGCATAAACACTCACGCCTGTCACCCAGAGGGGTAGGCACAGACTACGGACTTCCATTTGGCACGAACCTGACATACCTCTCTCGCATCTTTTACAGCCATATATCTACGCATACACGCTCGTCGGTTAAGGGTACTTCTAATGTGGGCCACATTTTCAAAATATCGGCAATTTGGTCGATAAACTTTCTTCTAGGGCGTCCCACCCCGACTCTGCCGTTCAAAATCTGCCATATGAATTTGCTTTGTCACTCTTTCCTCATTCATTCTTTCTACATGACCAAACCACCAAAGCATTCCTTTCTTAATCCTGGTCACAACATCATCTTGCATACCACATTTTCTTCTTATCACTCAATTTCTCACCCTGTCATTCAGATTCAACCATAGCATACTCCTTAAATACAGCATTTCTACAGCATTTATTCTACTTTCGTGCTTCTTCTGCCCCCCAACTATTACTACCATACATTAAAGTAGGGATTTGTGACACGTTCCGCATAAATAGCCTAAACACTCACGCCTGTCACCCAGAGGGGTAGGCAGAGACCACGGACTTCCATTTGACACGATCCTGACATACCTCTTTCGCCTCCTTTACATCCATATATCTACGCATACATGCTCGTCGGTTAAGGGTACTTTTAACGTGGCCCATTTTCAAAATATCGCCAATTTGGTCGATAAACTTTTTTCTAGGGCGTCCCTTCCCGACTCTGCCGTTCACATCTGCCATATAAATTTGTTTTGTCACTCTTTCCTCATTCATTCTTTCTACATGACCAAAATTTTGATTCTTCATAATAGAGTGTAGAGCCCCATTCACTTTAGTTCCTGCATTTACTCGTCGTTCTATATCCTTATCATATCTACCATCCCTGCTAAATACACATCCCAAATACACGAACTCATCCACTTGCTCAATCAACTCCCCTTCTATTCTTATTTCACATAACGTTTTACTTTCTTCTCTTTCTCAAATATGACTTGATCATCGGCGTACAAAAGGCATCCCTAAATCCCGCTTGCACATCCCAAATTTTTCCATAAGTTTCTTTCATAACTCTTTCAATTAACAGCTTAGCATATAGTTTACCAAAATACTAAGCAAGCTGATACCACACGGTACTTTTTGCAGTCCTGCTGTGACCCTTTTCCTTTATATATTGGGACTATAACTGCTTTACACTAGTCTTCCGGTACCCGCTTCAATTCCCAACATAAATTAAACAAGGTGTACAGGAGGTCTGCCACCACTCCCTCTCCAGCCCTTAGCATCTCGAGTGATACTCTATCATTTCCAGCTGCCTTACCTGCTTTCATGTTTTTCATTGCTTTCATTATTTCGTCTACACTTATCTCCATACTCCTTTTCACTTCTTTCGGAATTTCTAGTTCATTTAATTCATACGACTCTTCATTCATAAACACGCTTTCAAAGTATTCCGCCATCTCTTTAAGGGTACACTAGCGACTCATTCTTCCATACAAACGTAGTCTGGCGAATACTCCACTGTTCGATCCTGTACGTTCAAAATAAAAAATGGTTTCAATTTGTCTCATCATTATCTAGCCCTGTATGGAAACAAAAAAGTAAAACAGTTACCATACATGGATAGATTAGGTGGTCAAAAGTGCAAATAATTTTATTTTGAACAGATTTCAATACACAACACTACGAGGTGTGTTCAAAAAGTAAGGTGACTATATTTTTATGAAAAACTATTTATTTATTCATCAATATTTATGTTGTCCCCTTCAAAGTAATCCCTCTCAGATATAATACACTTGTGCCAACGCTTTTTCCAATCGTCAAAGCATCTCTATAATCATCTGGTATAGCCTTCAGCTCTTTCAGCGATGCAGTTTTTATCTCTTCAATCGTTGCAAATCTTCGTCCTTTCATAGGTCTCTTCAGTTTTGGGAACAGGAAAAAGTCACATGGGGCCAAATCCGGTGAATATGGTGGCTGAGGCATGATTGTAGTGTTGTTTTTGGTCAAAAAACCTCTCACAAGCAAAAAGCGAAATTGAGCAATTTTGGAACAAATTTCGCTGACACACGTTTCATGCCCAAAATATCCGAAAAAATTTCATGGCAAGAGCCAACCGATATGCCAACATCCTCCGCAACTTCTCTGATAGTGATTCGACGATTTTCCAAAACAATTTTCTTCACTATTTCAACGTTTTCATCGGTTGTTGACGTGCTGGGGCGTACAGAGCGAGGTTCGTCATTGGCATCTTCTCGGCCATCTTGAAAGAGCTTGTACCACTTATAAACGTTTATTTTTACTAAGAGTAGACTCACCGTATGCCACTGTCAACATTTCAAGTGTTTTGGAGCACGTAATTCCATTTTTTACACAAAATTTGATGCAAATTCTTTGATCCATTTTTTTCGTACATCGTACATTCAATAGATTTTTCATGATATCCAGATTCCCAAAGGTCTGTTTATAATATTACGCGCGCTCGTTTTGTTATAAATCATCATGCCTTTCGCTATCGCACGTGATGTCGGCTGAGATAGCATGCATTTTAACTCCACCCACCACTTAGTTCTTGCCATCGACTAGGGCCACTTTAAATTAGAAACTTCGTCACTCAGAATACATCCGTTTTCGTCTAGTATAGCATTCATTCTAGGCTGTTTTATTATTTCCCCTGGCAGTTCTTAAAGTTTCCAGAACATTTTAATTTTTGCCTGGAAGTTATCAGATATCCTTCTAATATTCTTATCCGTTCTTTCTTGCTTTTTCCTTTCAAATACTTCTTTTACTCTATTATTTTGACGTCTAAATTCTGCCTTTTTTCTTTCAATCTCATCATTCATACCGCCAAAACTACCAACTTTGGTTGCTAGTAAATCTAACCATTCTCTCTTCTTTTCTTCAGCATCCACCCGTACCTCATCATTCCACCACAACGTATTATTTTTCTCTTTTCATTTGTTCTCTTACTTACACCACATACTTCGGTGGCTGCACCTTCAAACTTTTCTTAACATTATCCCACAAAGTATTCAAGTCTAAATCATTCATACACAACTCATTCAAACACCTAATATTTTCCCTCAGTCTACATTTATACTTCTCTTTCACATATTCATCTTGTAACTTCTCTATTCTTATACGCTGTAACGCAGTGGTAGACACAGATGTCCGATATCGCCAATGCTTGAATAGACCATTTATTAAGACCAAGTAATGTGCCGTCCCTACGTTGGACCCCCGGTAAACCCTTGTATCTACGACTGCACTCCTCATTATTTCATCCACAATTATTAAATCTATCATGCTTCTTTTATCACCGCTTTCCCATGTGTACATGTGAATCTTCTTATGACGAAAAAAGTGTTTGTCACAAAAAGATTCTTTTCCACACATACGGTGAGGAGGTCTTCATCATTCTCATTTATATTTTCGTCACCGTCAACGTTTCCAATATCCTTTCATAACCAGACTTCTTCACCCCAACTCTTCCATTAAAGTCTCCTAATATAATAATATTTTCATTTTCCTTAAATTTCATCAAAATATCCTTACCATGTCCCAAAACTGCTCCCGGGTGTAAGTGGGCTTAGACATGTCTGGAGCATAAACCATGAGCACAATCAGCTTCTTTAAACCCACTTTCATTCATATCCATAGCAGCCTCGGGCTTACACATTCCTGCTCTTTCACACATTGACCCATTCTTTCTGAAAGGACGAAACCGACTCCCTGGCAAGCACGCTCAGTCTCGTCGGCACCAGACCAATACGCGACATACATGCTATGTGTAGTGATATCCTTTCCCTTTCGTTTCGTCTCATTTACACATAACACATCTATTCCTCTGTATGAATGACATTTCGCTTACTTCATCCAACTTATCATTAATTGAACCTTAGACATCTACATTTTTTTATTATGTGCGAGAAGCTATGCAGGTCTAGGTAAAGAGACCAATAATCACTGCGACCTATTGATCTGATTCGATCTGATATCGATCTGATAAGATCTATTGTGATCGGACATCCACATGTATCTTCGATTAAGAATCAAAACGCATATGCGTTGTCACTCCTGAGGACTAAGATGGATTGCTTCATTTCCAGTAAAAAGGGGTCTCCGGATCTCTACACCCAACATACAAAACACAGCAGTATTAAGCTGCTATTTTACACTGATATTCACTGAGAGCGTGGTCCTTTCCCGGTCGAGCCGACCCATTCGTGCTACAACTATACTACTAACACAATTGCAGCATGGCTCTACCACGTAAGAAAACAACTTCTAGCTGACTTTAATACAGCTGCAGCGTGGCTCTACCACGTATAAAAAATGATTTTGAGTTTAATTTAAAACATCAGAATTGCGATTAAAGCTTTTTTTTGCCTTACATTTTAGTTTCTAATATCAGAAGTGGGATAAATTATCCGTTATCGCTCACATGGGATAAAGTCCCTATTATCGCTGCGAATAGTGTTAGTGAAACACTATAACGCTCCTCGCGTTTTGTTTTCATGTTAAATGTAATGGAATTTAGTGTCCTATTTACGACATTGACGTACCATTAAAGTGTAGAGTAAAATTTTAAAGTAAAAGGTTTTAAGCCAAAAGTTAAATCTTTACGTTCGATTTATATTAGAAGTACCCGCAAGTACTTTCATTATTTCTTAACGTAATCAAATATGTTAACAAATGTTAAAAGAAATGTTTCAGGCATTCTAGAGAAGTTATAGTTTTGCATTCAATGAAAATTTAAACTACTCTAAAAGTTTTTTAAAGAACATGGTAATAATATGAGCTCTTTAATAACCGATTAATGCACAACCTTATTT